GGTGCCCTCCTCCTGCTGGGGCCTGAGCCAAGCGTGAGTGGCACCATTGTGTCATTATTAACAAAGCTTGGGTGTTACTATTTGTATATCTTTTTGCTTGTTTTTTGTTGGGATAGTCGGACTTTTTAAAATTTCATGTATCGGGGAGGGGACAAAAGGTATAATAGACCTCCTGATTCCCTTGCCTGTTCTATTTCTTTTTTCCAGTTTGGTTTTTTTCTTATCATTTTCTTCTTCCTCTTCATTTTTTTATGCTCTTGCTTCTGTTTCTTGTATCATGTGGAGAGAGGAGTGGGAGATAGAGGTGAGGCCCTCCCTAGAGACAATTGGGTCACCAAGGAAGGCTGATGCATTTTCTAATGATAATTTTTCATTGGTGAGATGTGTGCAGAGTGACCCTGCCTTGGTGTCCAAAAGCCTCCTTGTCTATGTTGTGACTCCAGGCCCAGAAGGTAAGCCCTCTTGTGTAGAAGAACCTGTCCTGGAAACATTTGTCTTGAGAGCACCCAATGGCACATTAGGGAGCTGAGAGCAACTTAGAAGGGACATATGGCCAGCCCCTCCCAGGAGTCCTGTCTCAGGCAGACGCTGGCCCACTGACTTATACAGCTCAGGGGCTGACACGGACATCTTCTCCAAGCCACTGTGGGCAGGTGTTGCCAGGGCAGTGTGGTGTTGGATGACGCTGAAGCTGCTGCACAGCCTGAGGTATTCCTCTCTGACAGACTGAGGGCCAGGTACTGCACAGCCTGAGGTGTTTATCTCTACCAGACGAAAGGCCAGGCCCAGGACAGCTCCCCATCCCCTGCTATGACAAGGCCCCACTTGTTCCACAACCTGACTCCATGAACCCATCCCCCAGGTCCCTGAGTATGCCAAGCTCTAGGCCTGGTGAGCACTGGTCTCTCCGTGCTGCAGACATACACCTGCCTAGGGACCTCCTCCTCACCTTCAGGCAGGGGGTGACCTTTTCTTGCCCTTCATGCCGGTCACACCCACGTGCTGTGATGCTGAAGTCAAGCAGGGAAGCAGCAGAGAAGGCGTGGAGATGGACAAGTGCTGCAGCAGGGTCTGAAAGAAGCTCTGGGCTCCACAGGGTTATTGGCCAGATGTCCAGAGAGTGACTCCGGGGTCCTGGTCTCCAAGGGAGAAGAGGGGTTGGGGAGAGGCCTTTGATCAGGCGTGTGGCCCCTGCTCTTCCTGAGCAGGTCGGGCAGCCGGTGAGTGCCTGGCTAATGCAGTTCCCACTGGGCCACACTGCCGGGAGGAGAGCGTGGTCTCTTTCCCAGCTGTTTTCCATCCAAGATGCACAGAGAGCAGGCCCGAGATGCAGGTCACAGCCAAAGCAAGTGGCAGGTGGTGCTGCTTCCCAGGGGACGTTGCTGTGGCTGTTCTGTGGCTTTGAGATGCTTGGGGTGCCCACCTGGAGCTGTGAGCCGGCCTGGCAGGCCTGGGAGGGCAGCAAGGGCGCTTGTGAAAGTTCCCTTTTCTTGAATTTAACAGAATCTTCCCATGTCCACTCTCCAGTACTCTTTTCTGTTGTCCCCAGACAGTGCCAGCAGAGGCCACATGCCGTCTGAATCTGGCCACACACACTCACTGCAGGGTCCTGGCCTGAGAAGGCATGAGGCCAGCATCCCTCACTTTAGGACTGGGAAACCAGTTGCCATGTTTCCAAAAGAGCTGAGACAGCTGCCACTTCCTGTCACCCAAGCCTGGCCTCTGCACCTTACTTTCCTTTTGGGGCCTCAGTACCTTCTTCCTACCTTAGCACCTCTGTCCTCCAAAATGAGGACGAGGAGGGATGGAGATGTCGAGAGGCCGCCCAGGTTCCAGGCTCCTGTCCTAGCCACTGCCCATCCTTGGCTGTCACTGTTGCAGCCTCCCAGCTGGCCTCTCTGGCACCTACTGGCCTGTAGCTGCCTTTGCTTGGGTCTGTCTGCACCTCTGCTTCTTGTGGGCTAAGCACAGATGGGACTTGGAGAGCTGCAAGCTGAGGAAGAAGGCAGGTGCATCTCTGGGTCCCTTCTCCCCCAGTTGAGGCCTTCCACGATGCAGTCCCCAGGCAAGGACAGACCAACCTCTCTCAAGACCCTGTGTCCACAAACCGTTTCCTCTGAATTCCATTCCTTGGGCCCGGAGCCTGCACCCAGCTGCGCAGTGGACCCTCTCAAGGGCCAGGATGGGGACCACATCTGGCAACCATGAGAGAGGCTGGAGGAGATGGACCTGAGTGAGCTCTGCGCCAAGACAAGGCCCCGCCAATGCTGTTGGAGAAGGAGTGACTGTGCTGAGAGAAGAGAGAGGATGCTGCCATGATATGGCAGAGTCAGTCTGCAGTCAGCGCTTGGAGGATGAGGCCCCAGGTCCCACCTCTAGCCTGCTCCAAAGGCCAAGCAGGCGGGATCTGAAGAATCTGGGGGTTTCCCTCTGCTCTTCCCTCACCTGGCTGAGGGATAGAGGCAGACTGGGCAGTACTGCCCCTGTCTCTTATACACATCTAGATGTGTATAAGAGACAGCCTGGAGTGTGACAGGGGCGAGAGCAAGAGCTTGGAGCAGACCCTTGAGACCCCAGGAAGTGCTCTGCCAAGCATCAGTGCCCTCTTTCCTACAGAGAGGATGATGGGACCTTCCTCCTGGGTGGAAGTGATGAGCTATTGCAGGTAGATACAGACTTGGAAGAAATGGCAAGAAGCATAAGGCGGCAAGAAGTCTCCAGGGTACATGGACAGGCGCCCAGGGTTCCAGGGGGAGGTTGAGGCAGTCCACGGAAAAAAAGCGGCGAGGCCGAGGAAGAGGCTGGGTTCTCACGGCGGAGGTCAGTGCCTTCTCCGCAGCCCTCGCGCGTGACCTGGGCGGGTCCCCTGATTTCCACCTAGGGTGAGTGTCTCTCCCCCTCTGGGGCACCCTAAAGCGGCAGGAAGATTCCCGGGGGACGGGGACAGGCGCCCACGGTTCCAGGAAGAGGTTGAGGCAGGCCGCGGACAAAAAGCGGGGAGGTTGAAGAAACGGCTGGGGTCTCCAGGCGGAGGTCCGTGCCTTTCCCGCAGCCCCTGCACCCGACCCGCCCGGGGGTTCTTGGAGTCCCTGGTTCTCACCCAGAGTGTGTGTCTCTCCTGCAGGGGGCACCCCAAAGTGGCAAGAAGTCCCCTGGGGGACGGGGACAGGCATCCAGGGTTCCAGGAGGAGGTTAAGGCGGGTCGTGGAAGAAAAGCAGCAAGGTCGAAGAGGTTGGAAGTTCCCGGACTGAGATCATTTTCTTCCCAGCAGCCCCCGCGCCCAACCCGGAGGGGTCATGAAGTCCCTGGGCTCCCACCCAGGGTGCGTGTCTCTCCTCCAGGGGGCACCCCAAAGTGGCAAGAAGTTCCCGGGGATCGGGGACAGGCGCCCAGGGTTCCAGGGAGAGGTTGAGGCAGGCTGCAGAGAAAAAGCGGCGAGGCCGAAGAAGAGGCTGGGTTCCCATGACGGAGGTCAGTGCCTGCCCCGCAGCTCCTGCGCCCGAGCTGGGGGTGGGGGTTCGTGGAGTCCCTGGCTCCCCTCCAGGGTGCGTCTCTCTCCAAACGGGGGTGCCCCAAAGTGACAGGAATTTCCCCGGGGGATGGGGACAGGGCCCAGGGTTCCAGGAACCCCGTGGGGTGGGGGTGGGGGCTCTATCCAGAGCGTTGCTGCCCGTGTTGGGGGGCTGGTTGGGTGTGCTATCTGGGGCATCACTGCCCACGGAGG